AAGCAGTTGGCACGATAAATCCCCCAAGACGACTAGGATCAATACGCCTGGCAGGACGGAATTCCGCGACCCTGAGCAGGCGCTGCATAGCGGTTTCCCAAGGAAGGTGCCCTTATAAGGGCCCTATCAAGCCACAACATTTACGTCCCAAACGCCCGCCCGCCCCCGCCCACAAATGGACGACCGTTCCTGACGCTCGTATTCATTCATTTGCTAAGCAAATTATGAAGCGAAGGGATTGGTATGAAGCGGCCGTGATGCTGCATGCATATATGGGTACACATATGCAGCCGTATCTTCGGTAGCGGTGAAGATGCCTACGGGAAACTCGTCCGAAATCGATTTACAAGTCACTGAGAACGGAGGCTTTTTCTTCGCAGGATTTTGACCGTTTCACTCCGTTCTTTCGCCATTTCCCCACTATACAGCGCCCTACTAGCATTTTAGGCTAAGTAGGAAACCATCGTGCCAACTGCCTTTAAACAGGCCACGGGATTCAAGCTGCGGTGCAAAAACTACCTTAGCGCGCATACCTAACTACAGTCTTCTTCGATGCGCATGATGGGCGTGTCAGTGAGGATTGGTTTGACACCCCACGAGCTGTTGAAGTGGATACGGGACAAATATTTGTGGAAAACGGCTGTTACAAACGATAGGTCACAGTCACATGGCTTTCGGAAGGAAAAAATGGGCTTGCGTTACTACCATACTCATCTCGTCCCTCCCCATCTTGCCATGCTCCATATCCGCAGCAAATGAGGCTGTAGCTGACTCGGTTCACTGTAGCAGACCCCAGATGAATCAGATGGGTCTGTACGAATGTCTTGCCCGCGGAGCCACTTGAACGGCCCACTGTCACAAGTCGGATTTCTTCGTCGACTCAGCTCCTCTGCATCACATACTTCTCGTCCCCATACGTGCTCAGAAGCAGTCAGCTGCCTTATTTCACAATGTGCGACCTGCCTCATATAAACCCTCACTGATTCGAGAAGAATGCTCTCATGTTGGTCGAGCTCCGCCATATGCGCGGAGTGTATGCTGCGCATCTTTCCGACTAAGCCTTTTTGACTTGTGAGAACTTTACCGTAACGAAGGACGTTCTCTTTCTCAAAGAGTTCAACGGAATAGATTGAGAAGCAGACAAACTTGACAATGTAACAAATTCGTGCAGAAATAAGGTGTTTAGCAGTGATCAGTCGCTTTCCGGGATGCTCCTTATCACCAGGTTCGTCGCCGAATGAGAATGGTAGAGGTCTATTGGCTGAGCTGGGCTTCGAAGTTTCTTGCTCTTTAGCTTCGTGAATTCAGTTATTTTCAGCACATTTCCATGTCTTCAGTGTGTAGCGGTAATTTGAGTGGAGAGCATTATACGACACTCATACATAAATTTCATTACAAATACTTGAAATTGGTATGCTGAGAGGGGAATTTGATGAGAACTTTTGCAACTAACCAGCTTTGTCTCACCATTTCGACAAGCTATTGATCAAACGTAATCTAAAACACACCAACACCTCCAGAACAGGAACTGAGGCACGACGTCGTGACACATTCAGGATTTTTTGCACGACTGATCCAAAGGAATGAGCTGCAAGCACTAGTCTCTGGTACTCACTTCAGAGAATGGGGATGGGTCTGGGTCTTGTCTAGGTGCAGGATGAGTACTACACGCCGAGACGCAGCGTTGGACCTCAGCGTTAGGAACCATCCAAGCGCTGGAAGAGTCTCGGTTGATGGGATGATATGGTAGTGTCGTAATCTATGTGAATTAGAAGAGAAAAAAAAATCACATTTTGCTCGTTGAAAAACTGCATTTGGGGATTAGCGTAAATGAGGTTTCAAAGCAATGTGTCGTTCTGGTTTAGGCGCCTCCTGCTATCCGTGCGAAAATCCTAGATTAGATCAAATTGAGACAAACCTGCCTCCTTATAGGTCCGCAACGTTGAAAACCCGCTGTAAATACCACAACCCCCATCCCGTGGCTCGCCAAAAATCGTAATTACAATTGTAACAGAACGGCAGTAACTCACCTTAAGCACATCCGTCTCCATGTGCACATAAGTGCATACGTAGCAGCGCATCCTCCATCCCTTGCATGTGAGGCGCGCTTCAGGACTTCGCGATGCGCGCGATCCCGGATCACGACGCATCACAGCGATCCCGCGGCGATCCGGATCGCGCGATTTGGATCGCGCGATCGCTGTGATCGCGCGATCGTGCTACTGTGGGTGAAATTACACCGGGAGGGGTCATGTTCGTTCGTGTTCAACTCAACTCAACAAACAAAACAACAAAGTTCTGGGGAGTCGTACTGATATCACCATTTCTCACATCACGATGCTGTATCCTGCCTCCAATAGGCAGTTCCAAAAACGATATAAAAGTAGTTCGACCTTTTTTGATGTCTTTTATTCCGTGTTCATATTCGCAATACTGACGTTTGCAGAAACCGTCGAAAGGAAAGGTTGTGTATAGACCTGGAGGATGGCAGAACAAACAAAGCAAACACAATGTGACAAAAGTAAAGTGAATATCTGGAGAACTGGCAAAATCGGGGGAAGGGAGAGAAACAACATCACCCGCTGTTGAAAGTTCTGCGTGTCTTACTTTTGGAAGCAAGATGTTCA